TGCTAGTCACTCCCTCCCTCACTCCAAACTCACCGCCATGAAGTTCATTCCAACTCAGAGACTATATGAGACCGAGAAGCACTGTACTAACACTGACCCCACCCCTTCAACTTTTTCTTTGTTCTCTGAACCAAATACGTGGCCAGGTAGATGATTTCTGAGACATATGTGCACATAGAGATGACCACATCTGTGCTATTCCGAGTCGCCATCATACTTCATTCCCTACAGAACCTTTTGCCATTTTTGGCAACTTCCCCTACCTCCATTTTTTCTGATCTTTTCTTTTTTCCCCTCTCCAGCCTGGACTAGCAACCACTTTCATAAGCACCTCATAAGTCTTCATTCTCTCAACCCGTCCAAGTGCATCCTTTTTTAAGACTCCAAGCCATGCAAAGTCCAATGCCTGGCACACTTGGTCCCATGCCACATCCAAACCAAAGCCACGACTTTCAGAGTGAGTATCTCGCAGTGACCTGAAATTGCCAATCTCTTCAGGAAAAGAAAGCCTCATTTTCCTCCTGGGGAGCAGCTGATGGGTTTGAATCATGGACTTTTGGGTTAGTGGCCCAATATCAGACCAAGGCCAACGGGGCTCCTTCCTACCAAGCTAAATACCCAAATATTTCGCATTACTGGGTGAAAATATACAGAATTGACTTTGTCCGCTGCCATCTAATTCCACACGGGCCTTCAATGCTACTCAGCAACTACTCTTTGCTCAGGCTGAACACCTATCATACTCTAAAAAACTGCTTTTCCTGGCCTTTTTTACTCTCCTGCTGGAACCTGGGTCTCTGATCTCTGAGCATCCTACACCAACATGCAGCAGGAAATCCTCTCCTCAGACCACGGTGAGCAGTGGGGAAACGTTCAACAGATAAACCACACAGAGAGCCACCAACGGAGGATTCTTCCAAAGGGAGGGGAGGCAAGAAACGCTGGTGTGAGACGTCATTGACACCTGGTGGATGGGAAGTCCAAAGGGTTACAGACGGAAAATTGTTTAGGTTTGAGAGACAGGGCAGAGGACAGGGTGGCCCTGGACAGCAAGGGGGAGAATGGGCGGATCTCTCTGTGACCATACAGCACTCCTTTGCTAGAGTTTTTCAACTAAATTATTCATCTCCGTCTGCCATGTTCCATATGGAAGCTGATGTCCTACCCTGCAGGCAGGGCCCTGCTGCCTGCATCAAGTCCTACCGACATGGCGGGCCTTTGCTTAAGCTGCTCCTCCCGGCGTTGCCTGCTTCAGCTCACACGTCACGGCTGCCGCATTATTTGCTCACAAACATCCGAGACCTCTCTGTCTTTGGGGTTAAGTCTTCATACACGTATCTCTCTAGGTCATATTTGAGATTTGAAGTCTCTTTTGTCCCCATACAACAGAAAAATGCTGTCTGTGACAGGACAGTACACACACACACACACACACACACACACACACACACACACACACGGGAGACCAGTTATAGACTTCCTACCTTATAATGAAATCATATTTTGTGAGGGAGTACTCTTCATCTGTGTAAATACCTTGATTTGCTCCACATAGCTATGCCAACACATGATTTCATTTTAGAATAAAGCCAGTAACAAGGGAAGGGATTTTCAAAATTAAATAAGTAAATAATCATTAAATGAGCCCTGGGTAATAAATGAATGCACGAATTAACAACCAGAAGCCCATCCTAACCTACATACTTCCAGGCCTTCTCAGCCAAAAAACACCCTTTATGTTTTAATAGGCTTCAAGTGGATTTTGTTGTTGTTATTCCTTGCAGTACAATGGGTGAAATTATATATCAAACTAAGTGGGACAATGTTCTAAGTAAAGATAGGAGGAAGTACAAACTTTAATCTAACATAAATAGGCATCATGTGCTGACAGGTCTACAGAGCTCCTCTGTTCTGAGAAGTCACCATCCCACAGGCACTCTGTCATTTATGCCTACTTATTCTGGGTCGAGAATATGTCTGGAATTTATTCTTTTCATTTCCAAGGTCAAGGCCCAAGGTCAGACCCTTGTCAAGAATCTCAACGACAACAATTGTCTTTTAACCAGCACTCTGGTATCTGCCTAATCCATTAATCCTGGGGTCACATCCTCCTGAGAGAAAAAGAAGACAGTCCCCCTATTTTGTTTATCCTTTGGATCCTTCCCTTCTCCCCTAAATCCAGTCTTTAAAATATGTAACTTGCTTACTTATCCTGTGCAGTCCGTTTCTCACTTGAAAAATAATTGCTAGTACCCACTGATATCACAGAAAGTTCAAAGAGCTTAATCTGTAACACCGTCCTCAAGGTTGGACACCACATTCCCCTTCAGCAGATTATGCCATCACTTTCCCCTCTGACGGTACACTAGTCACACCGAGCTACTGAATACTATAGAGCACAGTGAACAAGTAGTCTTGCTAAGGGACAGACTCTCATGCGGTAAGACGCACTTCTCTTAGTTTCCCCTATGAAACACCTCGAAGTCTTCCAAGTTCCGATGTAAGTATCTTTCAACCACAAATATTCTCCAATGCCTACTTTCTGATTAAGGTTCCTTATGTCTTTGCAGGACTCTATGTTGCAACTGAATATTCACGGGGTTGGTTTCCCATGTCTTGTCACTCAATTTGGTGTGGGCCTCTTTGGTTATTCAACTTCTCGCAAAGCGCTGAACCACGTGTCTCAGTGTGAGGTGGTCGTGCACGCCGTCCTTCCACAAGCGTCACCCTTGATTCCTCTCGAAACACTATGCAGCATAAAACGGATGTTCAATAAATATTCCTTGGCTAAATAAATAAGCTCCCAGTGGACTAAATGCTTTTTGAAAACAAGTATTATACTTTATCCATTTTTATTTCTCATCGTGACTAGAAAGAAGTAAGTAACAAAACCTCCTACAGCCTGAATAATATATTGAGTTTAGATTCTGGCCTCTGAAGGATTTGGCTAATCCTAGGCTATTTTTGTAATTTCTTCATTTGGAAATGACTCACTGAGCATTCACTCCCAAGACACATGCCAACTCCTATTGTAGGAGCTGGAATGGAGATCGAGTTGTAAACAGATAAACGCCACCTGTGTTGAGGTGGAGGGCATGTGACTGTCAGCAGGTAATACAGTACCAATATAAGTTTTGTGTAACGACTCACACAAGTTTGAACGTGAGCATCAGCTTTGGTCCCCCTTGATCTTGCTTCCAATATGATTTGACAAATGTAAAATTTCTACCAGTGCACGATGCTGATGGTGATGATTGCATGATCCTCATCTTGGATTCCAACGTGATGCCCCAAATTCAAGCCTTGGTTATGCCTTTTGAAACAAGTAACGTGACTTCCTAGCTATTCCTTCCCTTTTCAGGGCTTCCATCCCTAACGTCAGCCCTCAGTGCGGCCAGAATAACCTACAAGCAATGCTCTGACTGCATGTTGTTCTGCTCAAAAGCCCTCAGTGACCCTGCACTGCAGACACAAGGAGACACTGTGTGGACACGTTAGCCTCATGGTCAAGGCGTCACCCAAAATCTGGTTCCAATCTGTGTTTCCAGATTCATCTGCGCTGTTTCAAAAAGCCAGACTGCCGCTGTGTTAACGTTTGTTTCTCTGTATACTTGGCCCTCCCTGTCACTTGGTACTTTCCCATGGTTTTGTATGTAAAGTCTATGTAGCTCTCAACATCTAATTCAAGAACATTAAAATTGTTTCTGGTTCTGCAAGAGCAAGACTATTTGGTACCCTCCTCTCTAAACTTGACCATTTATCCCTCATATTTTGGTTATTTGCAAATATAGTTTATGCACATAAATGGGAAGGGATTTAGTCATTCATTTCATAATATTTAATAAATAGTTACTGGTCTACTATCCCAAACATCTAAGACGTGTAACTTTTATAGCATATACTAAATAAATTGTTGTTGAGTGAAGGTAAAGTCCCAACTAGATAAAATTTACCCTAAATTAAAATAACCTTTTTCCTAAATATGAATTATAGTTCCCAACAAAGAAATACATAGCACTGGTAGCCAACAGCTGCTCATCAAATTTTAAGTTTGTTTGAAGAGATTGGTTAAGTAAGCAGAAGACAGAATCAGGTAAAATGCTAAGTGCAGTTATTCAAAGTAATAAGAAAATATTGATTCAATCCTGGCCACTTTATTTCACGATGTGTATATCATTAGGAGCAGCCAATTTGTAAATGCACATGCCATTATATTCAACAATGAGAAACTGTAACTATGTCAGGATTTATTGAAGGAAGAACCATATGGAAGTTTTCCTAGATAACATCTAATGATTTTTGTAGACTTTAATAAAAGTTTATGTGACGAAATATTTGTTCTCTTTTATTTTGTAAGGAAAAGCATTGGCTGATGATTGATGCCTGCTATTATGAGTCTACGTTCGTAATTCCTTACTTTAGAAGCTTGTCAAAAATACAAAAACACACTTATAACTCAAAACACTTCCTGTTATAGTAGAAAAAAAGATAAAAGGTGATTATTTATAGGCAATCTTATTCATGATGATAGACTCTCAGAAGGCAACCGCAAACATAAATTTTAAATGCTTTTTGGAAAGAGTTGAGAATAAAAACATTTACATAATTTCTTAGAAACCCTGGCTTTTTATTGCTGTACTTCAATATTCCCTCTGGGCAAAGGAGCAGCTACTTCAAAGATTTATTTGATAATGGAATGTTTGATTTCTTTGTTTTCTCTGCCCAGCATGGGTAGGCCCTTGTTTTCCCTCGACAGCAGTGTACCATTATTTAAAATTTGAACTGGCTCACTATGGAGATGGAAAAATGGTTCTGTTTTAGTGGATTCCACAAAGAATTCAATGATAGCAGTAGATATATGTATAAAAAGTTACACAAATACAGGATATTATTCGAAAGGGATTTGCCCACTTATCCGTTGTCTTTCTTAACAGTCCTGATGCATCATGGTAACATATGAGTAAATCAACTGTTATCAAAAGTCTAAAACTTCCACTTACCTGCCTATCCACTTCTGGGAGCAGAAGCAGGAGGTACTGCTGGAAATGCTGAGGTAAGGAAGCAAACGTGTGCTTGTTTATTAACGCTCTCAAGTTGGTGTTGACCAGGATGGACCCTGGGGTTTCTATGTCGATGTCCTCCGCTTTGGTCCATTTCAAGTGTCCTATGAGAAGTAAGCAAAAGTATGCCTTTACTATAGACTGGGGACATAAAACACACCTATACATAGGTATCCAATAACATATTCTTAATATGTAATACAGGATAATACATACGCTTAATTCACACAAGTAACATAGAAATCTCCAAAGCCTCCTTCATGCCATTTCCATTTTGTCTGACTGGCTTCAATTTTCCCTTTGTCCCCTTGACATGGCATGTTCATTCACCTAGCACCAGGTCCAGCATAAGGAACAAAGGGATCAGCGACACGTGCCCGGGCCCACTCACAGCCACCTACAGGTCCGAGTAGAACCCACTGCCCTGTGGCTTCCACGGCTGTCACGCTTTCCAGGAGTTCAAACAAACAGAAACACTCACCTTTCTCCCATGGAGCTGTTGGTGTTTTCAAACGGTTAACCTTGTGGAGAATAACCCACTAAGAAGTATTTTAATTATGGTATTTCAATGACTCACTTGTTAAATGCTGGAAGTATAATCTGAAATCCTACAATGCATGTAAGATTGTAGGCTTAGTGATGGATCAATGATTACAAGGAAGGCCAGGCTCATTTTAGTAAACATACATGATAGCAGTGTGAACAGTATACTTTCCATGTGCCAGGCATGGAAGTTTCTCCTTTGGAGTGTTACTTGTAATGTCGGAGATGTAAAACTATGCTGAAGGTTATGTCTACCACTCAGTGCACACGGACGTCCAACAAAGAAAAGGCTGTGCTGAGTTCTCAACTCAAGGTTGTGACATGCCCGAGAATTCAAGTGCAATAGGAGATAGTCACAGAGGAGAATTGCTGCTCTCAGTTATTTGAGCTTTGAGCATCATTTGAATGAAATGATAAGTGTATGTTTTAATTCAGTGGTCAGAAATTATGTCTCATGACCTAGACCACAGCCCAATACTTACTGTGGTAAATAATGTTTCTTTCAGGGTACAGACCTGCCCACTTGTTTACATACTGTCTATGCTTGCTGTAGACCTGAAGTATAGAGTAGAATACTTGTGACAAATTATAAGCAAAAAAGCCCAAAATACCTATTCTCTGGCTCTGAAAAACAACAAAATTTATGAATGAAAGTCATAATAAATGTTATGGAAATAGAATATGTAGGCTGGACACAAAACCAGAGAGAAATTCTTTATTAAAAAAACAAAACATAAACACAGTTTTATATAAATAAAAGCAATATAAATGTGCTTAACACAATGGATGGATGCATGGATTGTGATAAGATTTGTACAAGCCCACAATAAAATTAAGAAAAAAATACTAGAGTAAATAAAAATATAAACTTGAGAAAATATCAAGAATTCACTGTAAAAAATAGGGAACAAAGACAAAATACCATTTCACATCCATTATGGGAAAACACACACACAACAAACTCATGGCTTCTGAGTCAATTTTGACTGCTGGTAACTCCACAGGAAAGGATAGCACTGTCTCTGTGGATTTCCCAGACTGTAACTCTTTATGAGACTAGAAAGCTTTGTCTTTCTCTTGAGGAGCGGCTCTTGGTTTCTAACTAGCGACCTTGCAGTCCGCCACTTAATGCTTAACAACTACGCCACCAGCATTCCTTATACACCTAACATGCAATCCAGGGACATGAAACCGCAGGAACACTATCAGGAACTTTATTCCTGGGAGGGATAAAAATGGCACTCGTCACTTGAAAGACAATCTGGCTATTTTGTACAAAGGTAAACAGAGGCTGATCATGATTCAGGAATTACATCCTTAGGTTATGACTCAGATTATGTAATATATATGTCCACACACAAACTGCATGCAAATGTTTCCAGCAGGTTCTTTCACAATAGCCCAAAATCAGAAGTAACCAAAATGAGTAAACAAATGGTGATAAATCCATATAATAGGTAAATGAACAAAAAAATTAAAAAACGCAATGATGAAAATAAGCTGTCTGTATGATTCCAATCCTGACATTCTGGAAAAGGTAAAACTAGGGACAATAAAAACATCAGTGGTTGCTAAAGGCCCTGGGGAAGAAAGGGTGGCATGTACAAGTGAAACACAAGATATTTTAAAGATAATGAGACCCTTCTGTGTTCTTCTGCGATGGTGCGTGAAATCCTGTATTTGTCAAAACCAACAGAACTGAATAACATCAAGAATATACAGATACTAGTTCAGTGACTAAAAAGGAATGATTGTTAGGTAAAGTTGAGTCACTTCTGACTCAAGAGTGACATTTTGCAAAACAGAACAAAAAACTACCCCAAACAACCTGGTCCTGAGCCATCCTCAAAGTAACTTGTTGTGTTTCTATCCACTCTTGCAGCCACGACATCAGTTCATTTCATGGTGGCCCCTCCTCTTTTTACTGACCCTCCATTTACCAAGCTGGGTGTCCTTTCTCCAGGAACTGGCCCTTCCTGATAACATGTACAACGTACATGAAAGGAAGTACCCCCATCCTCAAGTCTGTGGGGGAATTTTGGCTGTACTTCTCCCATGACACATTTGTCCTTTCTTCTGACAGAAATGGGAAAGTTGCCATTCTTTGCCAGCAATATTATTCAGTCATCCATTCTTTTCAGACCTTCCTGATTCAGTCTCCAGCTTTTGAATGCAGGTGAAACCAATTCACACACCATTGCACCTTAGCCCTCAGAGTGACATCTCGCATGTAACACTTTCAAGAGGTTTTTTTATTTTTTGCACCAAACACCCAAAATGGGAAGGAATCATTAAAATTACAGCCCTGCCATTGTTTGAGAATAAGATAGAGATATGAAGTCCTTCTTAATTTTATTAAAACTTTATAGGCCGATGTTGAGAAGAAACATCACTCTAACTTTCAAATAAACGGATAGAGTGAAATCCAATCACTCAAAACAGAAGGTGGAAATGAAGAAGAGAGGGGAAAAGTAAAACAAAATAAGCCCATCCATCAAAATAAAGATAAATGGATTTTCATATGACATAAAAATAATCTCTGTATATTGCTTACAAGGTAAATATTTAAAAATTATACAGAAAGGAAGATAATGAAGCAATGGCATCAGAAATACATATGTTTCCTCATGTATCAATTTTCTCATCTAGTATTTCACATTTTCAGCAAACGATTAAAAATTCAACTATCAGATTACTTTGCCAAGGAACAGTATCTGTCTAACAGTAACAAATACTAAGGGCTGAGGCAACAGTTCACGCTGGCTGTACAGGTTATGTTTCAACTTGGGTAGGTCATGGTTCCCAACGGTTTGGAGGTATATAATGATGTAATCATCCTCCGTATTATGATCTGCTGTGGTTAACCTTCATTTTCACAGAACATCAATGATCAAACAACTTGGTATTCAGACTGAACAAGGAGAAAATGTACTAAACAATTTAAAAGTCCAGTAAAGCAATACTGCAATACTTGGTGGTATGTTGGTTCTGCATTAGCTGCTACCCACAGGTCAACAGTTTGAAACCAGCAGCAGCTCCATCCGAAAAAAGAACCTGTCTATTCTGATTCCTGCTCACAGTGAGCCTACATCGGCTTCCTGAGTCTGTAAAGCTTTACAGGAGTAAACAGCCTGCTTTTTCTTCCACCAAGCCAAGCTGCTGGTGGGCTGGACAGCAACCTTGTAGCTGACAAACCAACGGTTCCCCAGCAGCCCACCGCCAGAGCTCCTGGCCTCCAGACTGGAGAAGACGTTAAAAACTCAATGATTAAATTTAAGCAAAAAAATTAACACATGACACTATAGAAGCCATTTCTTTTTCAGCATTCAAGAATCATTAAGTACACACAAACTGACAAGTGAATCTCAACAAATAACTGAAAAATAATATAAAATCCCCGTTTTCTAGCAAAAGCACACAGATAACTTTCAGCCCCTACATTCCCACCATGTATTTGAACATCCAAAAGCACACTTCTGAGCACAACACCAGTCAAAGGAAACAATTTACAGTGGAAATTATAAAATGTTTGGATTCTAAGTGGCAGTGTTAAAATGTGTTAAATACAGCTGATTTTCAAGATATATGGTTATTATAAATGATACATATTAGTGGGTAAAGACATTGATATGTTAAAGCTTAATTGTAAAAATAAAACAAATGGGTAACAGAACATACTTGACAAAGCAGTGTAAAATATGAGTGGAGATTCATGAAGTAGAAAGAATAAGGACCACCACAACTTTTTTTTGGTTTTGCTTTCAAATCTGACTGATAGGGGATGCTTGCATCAACAGACATGAGAGGAATGAAGGTTGAGGACAGGAGACACAGCATACACTTTAAAAGCAGATCGAATTAATCCACATTAAAAAAAAAAGAAAAACAGGGCCTAAAAGGCAAAGCATTAAATAACTATAACTTTTGTCAGTATCTTTGAAGACAGAAAAACTGAATTATTTTAGCTTTACGTGGTTCTAAATTTAACGTAGCAAATGGAAAATTTGAAAATGCTCATTTAAAAATGTTTTAAACTGGATGAAGAAGAAAATTTCCACCAACTATTACACAGAAAGTCCAAATAATAAAGGTTCCAGAAATAACTTTTACTAATGCATCTATGGACTCTCCCACCAGTTAATTTTATACAGAGTCTAAAGAGACAGATAAGAAAGCTTCTAATATGCTTTATAAAGGTAATTAATTTCTATTCCAAATAAATGGGGGAGACTAATATGAGAGAGGAATTTATCAGTCAATATTACTTATGAAAACTAAAAAGAATATATGTACTCTCATATTGAGAAAAAAATCAGTAATTAGGCAAACTCCTAACATTTTCAAATCAAGGAAATGCATATCTAGGTGGCTGCTGGATATGTGTGCTATGTGCTTGAGTTAGTCATACACAACTAAAAAAAAAAATTCTGACCACACGGCAAGAAAGATTAGGGAGAAGATTATTTTCTCAGCAATGAAAGAAATGGCAAAAGAGGGAAGTTAAAAATAAAGGGAAATAATTCACTGCATTCTTACTACATGGCCTAAATCTAGTCTTCTC